CGTCTTGGTAAGGCAGTCCGTCTTGGTAAGGCAGTCCGTCTTGGTAAGGCAGTCCGTCTTGGAGGCAGTCCGTCTTGTTAAGGCAGTCCGTCTTGAAAAGGCAGTCCATCTGGGAAAGGCAGTCCGCCTTGGAAGGAAGTCCGTCTTGGTCACGCAGTCCGTCTTGGAGGCGGTTCGTCTTGGTAAGGCAGTCTGTCTTGGTAAGGCAGTCCGGGCAGTCCGTCTTGGTAAGGCAGTCCGTCTTGGTAAGGCAGTCCATCTTCGTAAGGCAGTCCGTCTTGGAGGCAGTCCCTCTTGGTAAGGCAATCCGTCTTGGTAAGGCAGTCCCTCTTGGTAAGGAAGTCCGTCTTGGAAAGACAGTCCGTCTTGGTAAGGCAGTCCGTCTTGGAAAGGCAGTCTATCTTGGAAAGGCAGTCCATCTTGGTAAGGCAGTCCGTCTTGGTAAGGAAGTTCGTCTTGGTAAGGTAGTCCGTCTTGGTAAGGCAGTCTGTCTTGGAAAGGCAGTCCGTCTTGGTAAGACAGTCCGTCTCGGTAAGGCAGTTCGTCTTGGAAAGGCAGTCCGTCTTGGTAAGGCAGTCCGTCTTGGTACGGCAGTCCATCTTGATAAGGCAGTCCCTCTTGGTAAGGCAGTCCGTCTTGGTAAGCCAGTCCGTCTTAGTAAGGCAGTCCATCTTGATAAGGCAGTCCCTCTTGGTAAGCAGTCCGTCTTGGTAAAAAAGTCCGGCTTCGTAAGGCAGTCCGTCTTGGAAAGGCAGTCCGTCTTGGAAAGGCAGTCCGTCTTGGTAAGGCAGTCAGTCTTGGTAAGGCAGTCCGTCTTGGAGGCAGTCCGTCTTGGTAAGGCAGTCTGTCTTGGTAAGGCAGTCCGTCTTGGTAAGGCTCCGTCTTGGTAAGGCAGTCCGTCTTGGTAAGGCAGTCCGTCTTGGTAAGACAGTCCCTCTTGGTAAGGCAGTCCGTCTTGGAAAGGCAGTCCGTCTTGGTAAGACAGTCCGTCTTGGTAAGGCTGTCCGTCTTGGTAAGGCAGTCCGTCTTGGTAAGGCAGTCCGTCTTGATAAGGCAGTCCCTCTTGGTAAGGCAGGCCGTCTTGGTAAGGCAGTCCATCTTGGTAAGGAAGTCCGTCTTCGTAAGGCAGTCTGTCTTAGTAAGGCAGTCCGTCTTGGTAAGGCAGTCCGTCTTGGTAAGGCAGTCCGTCTTGGAAAGGCAGTCCATCTTTGTAAGGCAGTCCGTCTTGGAAAGGCAGTCTGTCTTGGAAAGGCAGTCCGTCTTGGAAAGACAGTCCGTCTTGGAAAGGCAGTCCGTCTTGGAAGAGTAGTCCGTCTTGGAAAAGCAGTCCGTCTTGGAACAGCTATCCGTCTAGGAAAACCAGTATGTCTTGGAAAAGCAGTCCGTCTCGGAGGCAGTCCGTCTTGGAGGCGGTCTGTCTTGGTAAGGCGGTCCATCTTGGTAAGGGAGTCCATCTTGGTAAGGCAGTCCAGGCAGTCCGTCTTGGTTAGGCAGTCCGTCTTGGTAAGGCAGTCCGTCTTGGTAAGGCAGTCCGTCTTGGAGGCAGTCCGTCTTGGTAAGGCAGTCCGTCTTGGAAAGGCAGTCCGTCTTGGAAAGGCAATTCGTCTTAGTAAGGCAGTCCATCTTGGTAAGGCAGTTGGTCTTGGTAAGGCAGTCCATCTTGGTAAGGCAATCTGTCTTGGTAAGGCAGTCCGTCTGGGTAAGGCAGTCCGTCTTGGAAAGGCAGTCCGTCTTCGTAAGGCAGTCCGTCCTGGTAAGGAAGTCCGTCTTGGTAAGGCAGTCTGTCTTGGTAAGGCAGTCCGTCTTGGTAAGGCAGTCCGTCTTGGTAAGGCAGTCCGTCTTGGTAAGGTAGTCCATCTTGGTAAGGCAGTCCGTCATGGTAAGGAAGTCCGTCTTGGTAAGGTATACCGTCTTGGTAAGGCAGTCCGTCTTGGTAGGGCAGTCCGGGCAGTCCGTCTTGGTAAGGCAGTCCGTCTTGGTAAGGCAGACCGTCTTGGTAATATAGTCCGTCTTGGTAAGGCAGTCCATCTTGAAAAGGCAGTCCATCTTGGAAAGGCACTCCGTCTTGGTAAGGCCGTCTGTCTTGGTAAGGCAGTCCGTCTTGGTAAGGCTCCGTCTTGGTAAGGCAGTCCGTCTTGGTAAGGCAGTCCGTCTTGGTAAGACAGTCCCTCTTGGTAAGGCAGTCCGTCTTGGAAAGGCAGTCCGTCTTGGAAAGGCTGTCCGTCTTGGTAAGGCAGTCCGTCTTGGTAAGGCAGTCCGTCTTGATAAGGCAGTCCCTCTTGGTAAGGCAGGCCGTCTTGGTAAGGCAGTCCATCTTGGTAAAAAAGTCCGTCTTCGTAAGGCAGTCTGTCTTAGTAAGGCAGTCCGTCTTGGTAAGGCAGTCCGTCTTGGTAAGGCAGTCCGTCTTGGAAAGGCAGTCCATCTTTGTAAGGCAGTCCGTCTTGGAAAGGCAGTCTGTCTTGGAAAGGCAGTCCGTCTTGGAAAGACAGTCCGTCTTGGAAAGGCAGTCCGTCTTGGAAGAGTAGTCCGTCTTGGAAAAGCAGTCCGTCTTGGAACAGCTATCCGTCTAGGAAAACCAGTATGTCTTGGAAAAGCAGTCCGTCTCGGAGGCAGTCCGTCTTGGAGGCGGTCTGTCTTGGTAAGGCGGTCCATCTTGGTAAGGGAGTCCATCTTGGTAAGGCAGTCCAGGCAGTCCGTCTTGGTTAGGCAGTCCGTCTTGGTAAGGCAGTCCGTCTTGGTAAGGCAGTCCGTCTTGGAGGCAGTCCGTCTTGGTAAGGCAGTCCGTCTTGGAAAGGCAGTCCGTCTTGGAAAGGCAATTCGTCTTAGTAAGGCAGTCCGTCTTGGTAAGGCAGTTGGTCTTGGTAAGGCAGTCCATCTTGGTAAGGCAATCTGTCTTGGTAAGGCAGTCCGTCTGGGTAAGGCAGTCCGTCTTGGAAAGGCAGTCCGTCTTCGTAAGGCAGTCCGTCCTGGTAAGGAAGTCCGTCTTGGTAAGGCAGTCTGTCTTGGTAAGGCAGTCCGTCTTGGTAAGGCAGTCCGTCTTGGTAAGGCAGTCCGTCTTGGTAAGGTAGTCCATCTTGGTAAGGCAGTCCGTCATGGTAAGGAAGTCCGTCTTGGTAAGGTATACCGTCTTGGTAAGGCAGTCCGTCTTGGTAGGGCAGTCCGGGCAGTCCGTCTTGGTAAGGCAGTCCGTCTTGGTAAGGCAGACCGTCTTGGTAATATAGTCCGTCTTGGTAAGGCAGTCCATCTTGAAAAGGCAGTCCATCTTGGAAAGGCACTCCGTCTTGGTAAGGCAGTCCGTCTTTGTAAGGCAGTCCGTCTTGGTAAGGCAGTTCATCTTGGAAAGGCAGTCCGTCTTGGTAAGGCAGTCTCTCTTGATAGGGCAGTCCCTCTTGGTAATGCAGTCCGTCTTGGAAAGGTAGTCCGTCTTGGTAAGGTAGTCGGTCTTGATAAGGCAGTCCCTCTTGGTAAGGCAGTCCGTCTTGGTAAGGCAGTCTGGCTTCGTAAGGCAGTCCGTCTTGGTAAGGCAGTCCGTCTTGGTAAGGCAGTCCGTCTTGGTAAGGCAGTCCGTCTTGGAAAGGCAGTCGGTCTTGGTAAGGCAGTCGGTCTTGGTAAGACAGTCCGTCTTGGTAAAGCAGTCCGTCTTGGTAAAGCAATCCGTCTTGGTAAGGATGTACATCTTGGTAAGGTATTCTGTCTTGATACGGTAGTCCGTCTAGGTAAGGCAGTCCCTCTTGGTAAGGCAGTCCGTCTTGGTAAGGCAGTCCTTCTTCGTAAGGCAGTCCGTCTTGGTAAGGCAGTCCGTCTTGGAAAGGCAGTTCGTCTTGGAAAGGCAGTCTTTCTTGAAAAGGCAGTCCGCCTTGGAAAAGCAGTCCGTCTAGGAAAACCAGTCCGTCTTGGAAAAGCAGTCCGTCTTGGAGGCGGTCTGTCTTGGAGGCAGTTCGTCTTGGTAAGGCATTTCGTCTTGGTAAGGCAGTCCGTCTTAGTAAGGCAGTCCGTCTTCATAAGGCAGTCCCTCTTGGTAAGGCAGTCAGTCTTGGTAAGGCAGTCCATCTTCGTGAGGCAGTCCGTCTTGGTAAGGCAGTCCGTCTTGGTAAGGCAGTCCGTCTTAGTAAGGCAGTCTGTCTTGTAAAGGCAGTCCGTCTTGGTAAGGCAGTCCGTCTTGGTAAGACTGTCCGTCTTGGTAAGGCAGTCCGTCTTGGTAAGGCAGTCCGTCTTGGTAAGGTAGTCCCTCTTGGTAAGGCAGTCCGTCTTGGAAAGGCAGTCCGTCTTGGTAAGGCAATCCGTCTTGGTAAGGCGGTCCGTCTTGGTAAGGCAGTCCGTCTTGGTAAAGCAGTCCGTCTTGGTAAGGCAGTCCGTCTTGATAAGGCAGTCCCTCTCAGTAAGGCAGGCCGTCTTGGTAAGGCAGTCCGTCTTGGTAAGGCAGTCCGTCTTGGAAAGGCACCGCCTTGGTAAGGAAGTCCTTCTTGGTAAGGCACTCCGTCTTGGTAAGGCACTCCGTCTTGGTAAGGCAGTCCGTCTTGGTAAGGCAGTCTGTCTTGGTAAGGCACTCCGTCTTGATAAGGCAGTCCCTCTTGGTAAGGCAGTCCGTCTTGCTAAGCCAGTCCGTCTTGGTAAAGCGGTCCATCTTGATAAGGCAGTCCGTCTTGGTAAGGCAATCCGGCTTCGTAAGGCAGTCCGTCTTGGTGAGGCAGTCCGTCTTGGTAAGGCAGTCCTCTTGGTAAGGCAGTCCGTCTTGGTAAGGCAATCCGGCTTCGTAAGGCAGTCCGTCTTGGTGAGGCAGTCCGTCTTGGTAAGGCAGTCCGTCTTGGTAAGGCAGTCGTCTTGGAAAGGAAGTCCGTCTTGGTAAGGCAGTCCGTCTTGGTAAAGCAGTCCGTCTTGGTAAGGCAGTCCGTCTTGGTAAGGCAGCCCGTCTTGGTAAGGCGGTCCATCTTGGAAAGTTAGTTCGTCTTGGAAAGGCAGTCCGTCTTGAAAAGGCAGTCCGTCTTGGAAAAGCAGTCCGTCTAGGAAAACCAGTCCGTCTTGGAAAAGCAGTCTGTCTCGGAGGCAGTGCATCTTGGAGGCAGTCTGTATTGGTAAGACAGTCCGTCTTGGAGGCACTCCGTCTTGGTAAGGCAGTCCGTCTTGGTAAGGCAGTCCCTCTTGGTAAGGCAGTCCGTCTTTGAAAGGCAGTCCGTCTTGGTAAGGCAGTCGGTCTTGGTAAGGCAGTCCGTCTTGATAAGGCAGTCCGTCTTGGTAAGGCAGGCCGTCTTGGTAAGGCAGTCCGTCTTGGTAAGGCGGTCTGTCTTGGTAAGGCAGTCCGTCTTGGTCAGGCAGTCCGTCTTGGAAAGGCAGTCGGTCTTGGTAAGGCAGTCCGTCTTGGTAAGGAAGTCCGTCTTGGTAAGGCAGTCCGTCTTGGTAAGGCAGTGCGTCTTGGTAAGGTAGTTGGTCTTGGTAAGGCAGTCCGTCTTGATAAGGAAGTCCGTCTTGGTAAGGCAGTCCGTCTTGGTAAGGCAGTGCATCTTGGTAAGGAAGTCCGTCTTGGTAAGGCAGTCCGTCTTGGTAAGGCAGTCCGTCTTGGAAAAGCATTCCGTCTTGGAAAGGAAGTCCATCTTGGTAAAGTATTCTGTCTTGGTAAGGCAGTCCGTCTTGGTAGGGCAGTCCGGGCAGTCCGTCTTGGTAAGGCAGTCCGTCTTGGTAAGGAAGTCCGTCTTGGTAAGGCACTCCGTCTTGGAAAGGCAGTCCGTCTTGGTAAGGCAGTCCGTCTTGGTAAGGCAGTCCGTCTTTGTAAGGCAGTCCGTCTTGGTAAGGCAGTTCGTCTTGGAAAGGCAGTCTGTCTTGGTAAGGCAGGCCGTCTTGGTAAGGCAGTCCGTCTTCATAAGGCAGTCCCTCTTGGTAAGGCAGTCCGTCTCGGTAAGGCAGTCCATCTTCGTAAGGCAGTCCGTCTTGGTAAGGCAGTCCGTCTTGGTAAGGCAGTCCGTCTTGGTAAGGCAGTCCGTCTTGGAAAGGCAGTCCGTCTTGGTAAGGCAGTCGTCTTGGTAAGACAGACCGTCTTGGTAAGGCAGTCCGTCTTGGTAAAGCAGTCCGTCCTGGTAAGGATGTCCGTCTTGGTAAGGCAGTCCGTCTAGGTAAGTCAGTCCCTCTTGGTAAGGCAGTCCGTCTTGGTAAGGCAGTCCGTCTTAGTAAGGAAGTCCTTCTTGGTAAGGCAGTACGTATTGGTAAAACAGTCCTTCTTGGTGAGGCAGTCCGTCTTGGTAAGGCAGTCCGTCTTGGAAAGGCAGTCCGTCTTGGAAAGGCAGTTCGTCTTGGAAAGGCAGTCCGTCTTGAAAAGGCAGTCCGTCTTGGAAAAGCAGTCCGTCTAGGAAAATCAGTCCGTCTTGGAAAAGCAGTCAGTGTCGGAGGCAGTTCGTCCTGGAGGCGGTCTGTCTTGGTGAGGCAGTCCGTCCTGCAAAGGCAGTCCGTCTTGGTAAGGCAGTCCGTCTTGGTAAGGCAGTCCGTCTTGGTAAGCCAATCCGTCTTGGAGGCAGTCCGTCTTGGTAAGGCACTCCGTCTTGGAAAGGCAGTCCGTCTTGGAAAGGAAGTCCGTCTTGGTAAGGCAGTCCGTCTTGGTAAGCCAATCCGTCTTGGAGGCAGTCCGTCTTGGTAAGGCACTCCGTCTTGGTAAGGCAGTCCCTCTTGGTAAGGCAGTCCGTCTTGGTAAGGCAGTCCGTCTTGGTAAGGCAGTCGGTCTTGGTAAGGCAGTCTGTCTTGTTAAGGCAGTCCGTCTTTGTAAGGTAGGCCGTCTTGGTAAGGCAGTCCGTCTTGGTAAGGCAGTCTGTCTTGTTAAGGCAGTCCGTCTTGGAAAGGAACTTCGTCTTGGTAAGGCAGTCCGTCTTGTTAAGGCAGTCCGTCTTGGAAAGGCAGTTCGTCTTGGAAAGGCAGTACGTCTTGAAAAGGCAGTCCGTCTTGGAAAAGCAGTCCGTCTAGCAAAACCAGTCCGTCTTGGAAAAGCAGTCCGTCTCGGAGGCAGTCCGTCTTGGAGGCGGTCTGTCTTGGTGAGGCAGTCCGTCCTGCAAACGCAGTCCGTCTTGGTAAGGCAGTCCGTCTTGGTAATGCAGTCCGTCTTGGAGGCAGTCCGTCTTGGTAAGGCAGTCCGTCTTGGTACGGGAGTCTGTCTTGGTAAGCCAGTCCGTCTTGGAGGCTGTCCGTCTTGGTAAGGCAGTCCGTCTTGGTAAGGCAGTCCCTCTTGGTAATGCAGTCTATCTTGGTAAGGCAGTCCGTCTTGGTAAGGCCGTCGGTCTTGGTAAGGCAGTCCGTCTTGATAAGGCAGTCCGTCTTGGTAAGGCAGGCCGTCTTGGTAAGGCAGTCCGTCTTGGTAAGGCAGTCTGTCTTGGTAAGGCAGTCCGTCTTGGTAAGGCAGTCCGTCTTGGAAAGGCAGTCGGTCTTGGTAAGGCAGTCCGTCTTGGTAAGGAAGTCCGTCTTGGTAAGGCAGTCCGTCTTGGTAAGGCAGTCGGTTTTGGTAAGGCAGTGTGTCTTGGTAAGGCAGTCCGTCTTGGTAAGGCAGTCCGTCTTGGTAAGGCATTCCGTCTTGATAAGGCAGTCCCTCTTGGTAAGGCAGTCCCTCTTGGTTAGGCAGTCCGTCTTCGTAAGGCAGTCCGTCTTGAAAAGGAAGTCCGTCTTGGTAAGGCAGTCCGTCTTGGAGAGGCGGTCCGTCTTTGTAAGGCAGTCTGTCTTGGTAAGACAGTTCGTCTTGGTAAGGCAGTCCGTCTTGGTAAGGCAGTCCCTCTTGGTAAGGCAGTCCGTCTTGGTAAGGCCGTCCGTCTTGGTAAGGCCGTCCGTCTTGGTAAGGCAGTCCGTCTTGGAAAGGCAGTCCGTCTTGGAAAGGCAGTTCGTCTTGGAAAGGCAGTCCGTCTTGGAAAGGCAGTCAGTCTTGGTAAGGTGGTCCGTCTTGGTAAGGCAGTCCGTCTTGGTAAGGCAGTCCGTCTTGGTTAGGCAGTCCGCCTTGGTAAGGCAGTCTGTCTTGGAAAAGCAGTCCGTCTTTGAAAAGCGGTCTGTCTTGGAGGCAGTCCGTCTTGGAGGCAGTCCGGCTTGGAGGCAGTCCGTCTTGGAGGCAGTCTGTCTTGGAAGGGCAGTCCGACGTGGCAGCCCTGTAGGACTCCGGGCAGGTGAGGAGCTGGAAGGTGTGGAAAGGGTGAGGGGGTAGGGGACGGGGGAGGGTAGGTGGGGGGGGAAAGGGGGGGGAGGAGGTAGGAAGTGAGAAAGGTGTGAAACATTGTTGTGAGGGCGAGAGGTGAGAGAAGTGCAGGGAATAAAGACAGCGGGGCAGAAGTTCGCTAGGAGAAACGAGGGGGGAGTTGGAGATGGAAGGGGGGGGCAGCAGAGAATGAGAGCAGTTGTGATGGTTGCCCTGCTGTGAGCAACGCCACGTAGGTGCACAGATGGGTGGATTAGGAGGGGGGTGAGAGAGGGTTAAGGACGGGAAGGAATACAGGGATAGGAGGGGGTGAAGGGAGGGGAAGGGTTAAATGAAGGGAGGAGTGTAAATGAAGGGGAGGGGTTGCAGGGAGGGAAGGGGAATAAGGGAGGGAAAGGGGAAAAGGAGGGAAGGGGGTAAAGGAAGAGGGAAAAGGGTAAAGTGAGATGACGAGGGTAAATGGAGAGGAAAGGGAAAAGAGGAGAGGGAGGAAGAAAAGGGAGAGGAAGAGGGAAAAGGAAGGAGGAATAAGGGAAGGAATGGTTTAAGATGAGGGGGAGTGATAGGAGTAAAGGATAAGCTTAATGGGAGAGTGTAAAGGGAGGGGGAGGGGTGGGATACAGAAAATTGGATAAAAGGGAAGAGGGCAAAGGGAGGATAAGGTAAAGGGAGTAGATGGTTCAGGGGACAGGAGTGGGTAAGAAGAAGGGTAGGATACAGGGAAGGGGAGCGAAGGGGAATGGGGTAAGGGGAGAGGGAGGTTGAAAGCAAAGGGGAAAGGGAAGGGAGTCGAAGAAAGGAGGAGGGGGTGGGGAAAGGGGAAGTGGATAACGAGAGGGGTAAAGGGAAGGGAAAGGGGGTAGCATAGGGGTGAAGGGGAAGGGGTAAGTGAAAGAGGGGGGTTTAAGGGTAAGGAGAGGGGATAGTAAACGGGGGTGGGTAAGGTTAAAGGAGGGTGTAAGGTAAGGGTACGAAACAGTGGCCACGCAAGCAGTGTGCCTGTGCGAGTGGGTGCGGGCTGTGTGCCATGGTTCTTGTGAGCCCCGTGGTTCTGAAGGCGGTGGTGGGTGTAGATGGACCGAAACGGGACAGAAAGGATAAGGGGAGAGAAAGAGGAGCAAAGACGGCAGCAGGGGGCAGCATGGCATAGCTGGGAAAGATGTTCCTGAGATCCTTCTTGTGGTTCTGAAGGGGGTGGGGGAAGATGGGGCGGAAGGGACAGCAAAGGGCAGGTGACTGAAAGGCAAGGGGAAACGAAGATACTGAAAGAAGCAGCAGGAGGCAGCATGGCATCGCTGGGAAGGTTGCTCGGGTGCTTCTTGTACGCCAAGTGGTTTTGAAAGGGGTTGGTGGGAGGGAACGGAGAGAAATGGGACATCAAACAAGGTAAGGGGACAGGAAGAGGACAGAGAAGCAGCAGAGGGCAGCAAGTGGTTCCTTGGATCCCTCTTGTACGCCTAGTGGTCCTGAAGTGTGAGGAGGTGGGGCAGAATGGGGCTCAGGACAGGAAGGTAACGAGAAAGGAAAGGAGCAAGTGCAGCAGCAGGGAAGAAGATGCTCGTTTGGACTTTTTGTACACTCAAAGGTTCTCAAGGGGGTGGAGAAAGGGACAGGTGACAGGAAGGGTAAGGGGCAAGAGAAGCAGGATGAGGCAGCATGGAAAGGTGGAAGAAGAGGTTGCTTGTGTCGTTTTTCTATTCCCATACATGTGTCGACTAGAATTATTATTTGGTGCAAGGGCGGTGAGAGCTGGGGGGGACTGGCACAAAAAGGCACTCTTTCCCTCATCGCTCCCTCGCAGCTGCAAAACCACCTTGTTTGGACGTTAGGTGGCAAGAGGTCAACTGTGCACAACACAACACTGCGCTGTCAATGTTTTGGGTCGTGTCTCCTGTGACCACATATCTTCCAGACCCATAAAAACAATTCCGTTGCCGGGACTTGAACCCGGGTCTCTCGGGTGAGAGCCGAGTATCCTAACCGACTAGACTACAACGGATGTTACATTTACCTAATTTTATCTTTTCCTTTCTCTTTCTGCCACCCACACGCTCCACTCCCTCACCAGGAGGGCAGTGCTGAAGACGTCGGCAATGGATAAGCCACTCAGGGGACTGCCATGTCAGCCCACAAACTGACTGTAGTTGTCTCGGTTTGACTCATGGTTCTCCTCCACCATCTCCCCCCCTCTTGCTTTAGTTACTACCCACTCCACCTCTCCCCCTCTGAAAGGCGCACACCGCCCACACAGCTTACCTGGTGATTCCCTGAAAGGCACACACCGCCCCCACAGCTTACCTGGTAAAAGGCGTGGAAGAGGACGGGTGCATCTTGAGGGTCGGATGGGCGTCAATGATGCAAGTGAAGGCAGATACCTGCACGACGGTGGTGTGTGGTGGTGGGTGGTGGTGTGCGGTGGTGGTGGTAACGGAAGATGGTGATGGACATAAGTGAAGGGGAATGGGCATGGTTAGTGGGCATAACACTCACCGCATGTGCCATGTCTCCCAGAGCCGGCCGACAGCAGCCCACGGCAAGGTGATCCTCCTTGGGGGTGCGAGGAGGGTTGCGAGGGACAAGTGGAGCCCTCCCACCTCCTTTCCTCCTACCCACACCCACCCCCCTCTCCTCCTCCTCTCACCTGCCCACAGCAACTCTCCTACGCAGATAGCCAGCACCACGCACTTAACTCTAACCCTTCCTCTCACCTCCCATCCATACTGTCCCCACATCTTTCTCATCTCACCTTCCCCAGGCGCCTTTTCCCCTCCCCATTGGGTACATTTGGCCTTTCCACTGCGTACCGCCTACCCCACCCATGCGCCATCCACCATCATCCCCCCAACCCCTCACCTGCCCCATACACCTCCTCCACAGCAGCTGCCACCACTACACACTTGCATCTCCAGCGTCACCCATCATTAACCCACCCTCACCTCCCTCCCCTCACCTCCCTCCCCTCCCCTCACCTCCCTCCCCTCTCGTCCCAGGGACGGGAGACGGGGACCTCAGGGGTAACGACGCATGGGAACAGGGAGCTATGAGGCGGCGTATCCCCTGCATCCCCCTCTCTCTCCCCATCCCCCTCTCCCTCCCCATCCCCCTCTCCCTCCCCATCCCCCTCTCCCTCCCCATCCCCATCCCCCTCTCCCTCCCCACCCCCCTCTCCCTCCCCATTCCCCCCGCAACGACGCACAGGAGCAGGGAGCGATGAGGTGGTGCATGCTAGCGGGGTTGAAGGAGGTGGGGCAGGTGGGCAAGGCTGTAGGAGGTGGGCAAGGCTGTAGGAGATGGGCAAGGCTGTAGGCTGTTGGACATTTCCTTGTGTTTCCTCATGTCCGCCGCGTGTGGTGCTGGCGCCTAACGTGGAGGAGGTGCCTGCCTGGGGTAGGTGAGGGGAGGGAGATGAGGGGAGGGAGGTGAGGGGAGGGAGGTGAGGGGAGGGAGGTGAGGGGAGGGAGGTGAGGGGAGGGAGGTGAGGGGAGGGAGGTGAGGGGAGGGAGGTGAGGGGAGGGAGGTGCGGGGAGGGAGGTGACGGGAGGGAGGTGAGGGGAGGGAGGTGAGGGGAGGGGTAGGTGAGGGGAGGGAGGTGAGGGGAGGGAGGCGAGGGGAGGGAGGCGAGGGGAGGGAGGTGAGGGGAGGGAGGTGAGGGGAGGGGTAGGTGAGGGGAGGGAGGTGAGTGGAGGGGTAGGTGAGGGGAGGGAGGTGAGGGAAGGGAGGTGAGGGGAGGGAGGTGAGGGGAGGGAGGTGAGGGGAGGGAGGTGAGGGGAGGGAGGTGAGGGGAGGGAGGTGAGTGGAGGGGTAGGTGAGGGGAGGGAGGTGAGGGAAGGGAGGTGAGGGGAGGGGCAGGTGAGGGGAGGGAGGTGACGGGAGGGAGGTGAGGGGAGGGAGGTGAGGGGAGGGGTAGGTGAGGGGAGGGAGGTGAGGGGAGGGAGGTGAGGGGAGGGAGGTGAGGGGAGGGAGGCGAGGGGAGGGAGGCGAGGGGAGGGAGGTGAGGGGAGGGAGGTGAGGGGAGGGGTAGGTGAGGGGAGGGAGGTGACGGGAGGGAGGTGAGGGGAGGGAGGTGAGGGGAGGGGTAGGTGAGGGGAGGGAGGTGAGGGGAGGGAGGTGAGGGGAGGGAGGTGAGGGGAGGGAGGCGAGGGGAGGGAGGCGAGGGGAGGGAGGTGAGGGGAGGGAGGTGAGGGGAGGGAGGTGAGGGGAGGGAGGTGAGGGGAGGGAGGTGAGGGGAGGGAGGTGAGGGAAGGGAGGTGAGGGGAGGGAGGTGAGGGGAGGGAGGTGAGGGGAGGGAGGTGCGGGGAGGGAGGTGAGGGGAGGGAGGTGAGGGGAGGGAGGTGAGGGGAGGAAGGTGAGGGGAGGGAGATGAGGGGAGGGGTAGGTGAGGGGAGGGGACGCAAGTTAGGGGAGGTAGGTGGGGGGAGGGTTGTTATGGGAGGGGTAGGCGAGGGGAGGGAGGTGAGGGAAGGGAGGTGAGGGGAGGGGTAGGCGAGGGGAGGGAGGTGAGGGGAGGGAGGTGAGGGGAGGGAGGTGAGGGGAGGGGTAGGCGAGGGAAGGGAGGTGAGGGGAGGGAGGCGAGGGGAGGGACGTGAGGGGAGGGACGTGAGGGGAGGAAGGTGAGGGGAGGGAGGTGAGGGGAGGGGTAGGCGAGGGGAGGGAGGTGAGGGGAGGGGTAGGCGAGGGGAGGGAGGTGAGGGGAGGGAGGTGAGGGGAGGGAGGTGAGGGGAGGGAGGTGAGGGGAGGGGTAGGCGAGGGGAGGGAGGTGAGGGGAGGGAGGTGAGGGGAGGTGTAGGCGAGGGGAGGGACGACTATGTTCAGAAAGACGCGTCCTGCGTCCTGGACGCATGCGTCCAGACGCAGGACGCTGACCCTTGACCTGTAAGACACACCAAAAGACGCAAGCCCGGGCAGGGCAAAAAAAACCCCCGGGCAGGCCAAAAAAATTGTATAGGGCTTGGGAGAGGGGGGGCGGGGGGGTGTCATACCACAAAATTTCCCCAACCACAAAATTTTCCCCAACCACAAAATTTTCAACACTCTTAGACGCGGTGGAAGAAGAAGGAATGGTCGAGGAAGCCATAGCGGAGTTTAGGTGGTAAGCTAAGCTAAGACCTAAAACCTCTATGGGTTTACGAAAGAGAATTGGTGAGGGGAAAATGAGAAGCCACAAAAGGTTGCCATGCTAAATGTGCTTGGTGGTGGTGGGCTACAAAGGTTGGGATTCGTAGATGCTAAGTGGTTGAGAGGTTTGAGTGAAATTCAATTTTGGTTTAGTTGTTAGGGAATGTTAGGGGGGCTGGTTTTGAATGGCGAATTGGGCTTGGGGTGGGAAAATTTCGCGATTTCGACATTCGCGTCGAAATCGCGAATGCCAAAATCGCAATCGATTTTTTTTCCGGGCTGCCCGAAATTTTTTTCGACGTGCGTCCTGCGTCTGGACGCGCGTCCTGCGTCCTAGCGTCCGGACGCAGGACGCAGCGTCCTAGCTGCGTCTTTCCGAACATAGGTTCCCATGCGTCGTTACCCCTGAGGTCCCCGTCTCCCCATCCCCCCTCTCCTCCTCCCCCATCAACCTCTCCCACATCTCCCCCTCCCCCCACACTCGCGGTGCTTCCCACGCGCTCGCACTGCCGCCCTCAATCGCACGCCTGTCTCGCCAGCACCACCATGCGTTTCAAGCGGCTCGCTCGCTTCTAATTCGGTGTCTGCCTCTCCTTCCCCCGCCTCACACCAATTCTCTCTAAACTTGCTGCCTTCATCCACCCCTCCACAGCGCGTCTCCACGCACCCTCTCTCGCGCATGCCCTCTCACACCTTTCCCCCGTCTTTCCCCCTTTCCTGCCCGTCCTCACCAGTCCCCACCCCTCCGCCTGCGCCTTCTCCTCTCTTCCGCCCTCCTGCCCCCCGTTCTCCCACCCCTCGCTTCATTTCCGCCAAACCCATACCAAACGCGCTAGTATCCACCTATTCCCCTCCCCTCCCCGTTCCGCCTCCCCTTCCCCCTCCGCGCGGCCGCCCGTCATTTCTGGGCCCATCCACGCTTAGACCGATTCCCGCGGGCTCTCGCGGAGGCGGCGGAAGAGGCGCGCGTGCAGCAGGAATGGCAGCGGTAGCGGCGGGGGCGGCGTCGGTGGCGACGGCGAGGAAGTGGTCCAGGCGGAGCGCGACCGGCGCGGGCTTCCACCGCCTCTTCGCGCCAGTGCCGGCGCCGCCGCTCCAGCCTATGGTGCTCACAGCGACGGTGCTGTTTCCGCCACTGCAGCCGCCGGAAGCCTCGCCTGCGCGCCCGTGCTTCCCCATCCGCCATTGCCGCTGCTCCTCGCGCCTCTGATGTAGCGGTTCTGCTTGCTCTTGTCATCTAGTGTAGCTCTGTCTGTCCCTGTTTCGTTGTCTACTGTCGTTCTGTCTGTCAAATTTTCGTTCGCCCTGTCTGTCACGGTTTTGTCGCAGTCCGTTGCGCTCTCGTCACCCTGTCTGACGCTTCGACGCGATCTTTATCGAGCCACTATCTGGTGCCCCACTGACGGGTCCCCCTGTCCTGTGACTCCAGCCTAGCCAGCAGCCCGCAAATGGTGGACAGACACAATTTGGCCTGACACAAAATAAGTGAATTGTTATGAGTGGGAGCGTTATGAGTGGGAGCGTTTCCCAAATGAACTGAAATGCACTAAATTTTAAAAGCTGAAGAGCGCTACTTAATGTCCAATGAATGTTCAAAACGAGATTATACAGTGAGTCTCGAGCTAGGCGAGGAACTTGGGGTATCTAGGTTCGGAAGCGTCGCGAAAGGTACGATGGCGAGGATAAGTGGTTCGGGGCGAACGTTTAGGCCGAACCAGCTGACGCGAGCACCTCGGAGCACACTCGCTAAAGTAATCCTCCAGAAATATATTACACACCTACAGAAACTGTTTACACTACCCTATAGATAACGTGATGAACCAGGTTCTATGTAGAATCTTAAAATAAAAATAATAAATCTCTACAAACGCTACAATGTCAATTGCCGATTTCAAATATCGCAACAAATTTTTCAGGCGCTACAACACATATGAACGAACCTAGCTAGCACAGTACATCTACGTAATTTGTTGATGACAGTAACGGTACGATCCTTTACACTTCGTCAAGGGGCACACAACCCAAGCTGCATGCCATGATTGGGTTGTTGAAAATTCTCCCTTGTGGCATGCATTTGACTGCAGTACGTATTGCCTGCAGCGTGGCTTCCTAGAGGAAAGATTGGGAGTGAGATGGTGGTGGGAGTGAGATGGCAGTGGGAGTGAGATGACAGTGGGAGTGAGATGGTGGTGGGAATCAGATGGTGGTGGGAGAGTGGTGGTGAGAGTGAGATGGTGGGGCCAGAATGGGGTGGATTGAGTTCTGGTTAGAACGGAACTCAATCCACCACCACTCTAACCACGGCAGTACCAACTGGTTAGACTGATGCTGCCCTAGCAGTGCAAACGCGGCAGTACCAACTGGTTAGACTGATGCTGCCCTGGCAGTGCAAGCGTTGCCCATTGCGACGACACAGAGGGAGGCCTGCGATGGCACAAAGGGAGGCCTGCGACTGCACAAAGGGAGGCCTGCGACGGCACAAAGGGGGTTCAAGGCGTGATAGGGAGGGAGGAAAGGTTAATGAGTGAGGGTCAACAATTTTGGAGTCAAAATCTAATGTTACCTCAAGCCTGAGGGAGGAGAGGTTGAGTGAGGGCCATGGCTAGGGTTGAGTCGACTCGACACTCCCCACTCACACCCTCCCTACTCCAAATTCCACCTCATTGCTATGCATTTCTTCCGCCACGCCACCAATGTCAGCGCTCACCCTCACGCACGCACTACCCCCACGAAACAAACTACTTCTTGTTGATAGAGCCATGATTAGTAAAACACACACTTTAAGTCGATTCACGTGATAGGAACGAGGTTCTATAACACACACACTTGTTCCGTTCCCCTCACCCCCCTTCCCTCCATCTGTCTGGTCATATGGCTTCACCTCGACCAGTCCCTCATTCCCCACTGCAGCCAGTAATGTACTTAGCACAGCCAACCACCACCCCACCTTCATCTGCACTCACCTTGGCCAGGGCGTTGTCTTGAGAGAGCCACAACCACAAAAATGCCCCATGCAATACCACCTACCCCCCCATTCTCACCTCAATTTGTGTTACCTAATAGCATCAACACCCCACCACATTCCACACATGAAGTCACCTTGGCCAGGCGACGTCTAACTGGCGTTGTCTATGCACTGCCAGGCTTGCAAGCGCCCGGTGGGCAAGGACGACCTCTCCAAGGTCGCCATCGTCGATGAGGAACTTGTTCGGGTCAACCACCCCAACCACCCTCGTGCCCCACCCACCTGCTTTCGTCACCCTCATGGCCAATACTTTGACGCTGCTCGCTATTTGACACAGGCGTTTCCACATCGCCCGTGTCTCACCAGTATACTAAGTCATGGGCCGTAGCTCTGTGCTTCGTAGGGAGATTAATGTAACCCTATCAGGCTATATCGGACGGTGTACGTGTAGCCACCCGAGCAAAAACACACATACCGCTCGATCTCAGCCGCTCAATGGTGGAAGTACCTCTTGGCTGGTGCTTTTGTTGCGAGGGGAATCGTTTGAGATGCGCCGGCCAATCACTGTTGCTAGTGCATCGATCACTATACATGGTAGAACGGTTTTGGAACCAATAGTGCGAGTGTAACCAAATCTTTGCAAAGTACAGTGTTGTCGCGATCGCACAATGTTGCACATAGGAGCTAAATAAAATTCAAAATACAACCAATGCATTAATAAAAAACTATGTTGCTAATGGTTTAGTATGGGGTTCTGGTAAGGCAGTGGGTTTGTCTCATGTCCCACACACAAAGAGCGTCCAGAAGTATTACTTTTGGCAATTGTACTAACAACTTTAGGCTATGCCACAACGGTTACGCGGGAGTGGACGAGATTCTAACACGACGATCAACAGTGCCAAACGAGTAACAGCTGTGGTATGGTCATGGGTTTTCACCCATTTTTGCATGGTCCTTTAACAAGATGCGTAAAGGTAGTGGTATCAAGCACATGCCCAACGCACAAGAAGTGATGCGTTATCGACAGCTTTGTTTAGACAGGGCGACGTTGTAGCGTTCAGGCCAATGTGTTGCTTGACACGGTAAATCCGTTGTGGTATGGTGTTGGATTGGGCTCTATTCTTGCACGGACATTCAACAAAGTGCTTAGAAGGAGTGGTATGAACCACAGGCCCAGCGCACTAGCGGTGATGCGTTATCGACAGCCTTGTTTAGATAGTGCGACGTTTGCAGCGTTCAGGCCTATGTGTTGCGCGACACGGTGAATCCGTTGTGGTATGGTGTTGGATTGGGCTCCATTCTTGCACAGACATTACAGGCCCAACGCACTAGCGGTGATGCGTTATCGACAGCCTTGTTTAGACAGGGCGACGTTGTAGCATTCAGACCTACGTGTTCCGCGACCTGGTGAATCCGGTGTGGTATGGTGTTGGATTGGGCTCCATTCGTGCACGGACATTTAACAAGGTGCTTAGAAGGAGTGGTATGAACCACAGGCCCAACGCACAAGCGGTGATGCGTTATCGACAACCTTGTTTAGACAGGGCGACGTTGCAGCGTTCAAGCCTACGTGTTGCGCGACCTGGTGAATCCCTTGTGGTATGGTGTGGGATTGGGCTCCATTCTTCAGCGGACATTCAACAAGGTGCTTACAAGGGATGGTAAGAAGCATAGGCCCAACGCACTAGCTGTGATGCGTTATTGACATCCTTGTTTAGACAGGGCGACGTTGCAGCGTCCAGACCTACGTGTTGCGCGACATGGTGAATCTTGTGTGGTATAGTCTTGGATAGGGCTCCATTCTTGCACGGCCATTCAACAAGGTGCTTAGAAGGGATTGTAAGAAGCAACGGCCCAACGCACTAGCGGTGATGCGTTATCGACAGCCTTGTTTAGACAGGGTGACGTTGTAGCGTCCAGACCTACGTGTTGCGCGACATGGTGAATCCGGTCTGGTATGGTGTTGGATTGGGCTCCATTCTTGCACGGACATT